ATTCATTTAACGAATAAAGAATGAAAGTTATATATATGTGTCTAAAATATATTTATTTCAAATGTTATCGTACGATTTAATTTTTAACTAAAATATACCACTTACATTGAAGTCTAAAAATGTTATAAAGACATTAATAATTCCATTAATGATTTCTTTCTGACCAAAATATATGTATGTAACACCTTCATGTTATGATGTAATAAATCTAAGACACTAATTGTTGGTATGTTCTATAAAGACTTTACATTATGTGTAAATGACATTAATATTTTTAGAGTGTAAAATTCTAGTTAAATGCATCATAAAGTAACTGGTACTTAAAATTAAAATTCAGCTTATACAAGTATGATGTGTTGGATTTTAACATTTTCAAAATTTTAATTCTTTAGTATGTAACGAAATTTCCAAGTTAAATTTGTAGAATATGCAATAATTTTGATGTAAAATGATAAATCTGTATGTATAAATAAACATGTTTTTATATTTCTTCATAATCATTATTATTGATGTTGCATATGTACTTATAATTAAATATAGTCTTAAATCTTATAATTATATTAATATTTAATCAAATCGTTTTAAATCCATAATGAATGTAGATAATCAGTTCAAATAGTTTCTCAATGTCAATATATTTCACAATGTAAAAAACTATATACATGTGAAATCATATATGTAAAGTGTCAAAGTGACGTTGTAAAATATTATTACACATTATCAAAGTGTCCACAAATTGTATTTGTACTTTAACTTTTCAAGATATTTATAATGCGAACAAATAACTACATTTATTTAATTGTAATGTCTAATTGCATATATAAAACATTACACGATAAAACGAAAATGATGGCAAAGTACAAAATTTCTGTATATATATATATACACACTTATGTGTGTATATACATGTAAGTATATTATACATATCTATGCATATATATTTTATACTTTTACGAACATATGTATGTATTGCGATGAGCTCCTATCTTTTTACAAGACAAAATATAATGAAAACATATGATTAGTTTGCGATGTTGTAAAACATATGTTTAAATGTTTCATATATCTTAACTGTCTGTAAATCTTTGAGTTTTAACTTTAACATTCCAAAAATCAAAGTTTGGTTCAATGTCTGATGTATTTTCTTCATATTGAGATGTATTTAACTGCATTTGTGATGAACTTCTCTTACGTTTCCTCGATTTCTCGGGACTTCGAAGACTAATAGAACTACTGTAATTATCCATTTCATCAATTATCGTAAGTTCTTCCTCTTTTACTTTAACACTGTACATTTCTTTATCAGCTGATTTCCTTTTCAAATCCTTTTTGCTACTTTTTATACCTTCTTCATTATCATTGATATTGTCATCCAAATTTGTTTTACATTTTTTTTGGGGTGTATTAAAGTTCGACAAACTTTTTCTATCTTCCTCCCAAAAAGCGTTTCCAGATACGTCACCATCGTCAGGGTTTTCTACTTTAATTACGACATCTTTAAAGTCCGGCTTTACTTTAATTTCCCTCATACCTGTAATTTCGTTCTTTGAATGTTTTTTCCGTTTCTTTTTAATTGTATTATTTTCATCCTCTACTTTTATTTCATAATTAGAACTAGATGGGCTTAATTCGGGATCCCTTTTTATTAATAGATTATTTTTTTGCACGTAGTTTTCGTCTTCAGTATTTTCAGAACTAGTCACCTTTTCTTTTTTAATCTTTATATTCGGAGATATAAATTCAGAATCTGATATACTAGATTTTCTTACAGACATTTCATTAATATTTCCATCCACTTCATTCTCCGAAGTATCCAATTTAACAGAATATTTACGCTTTCTGTGTCGCTTCTTCGGAGACTCTTCTATTTCATTATTCGTTTCATTAATGTCTATACCATTTAATTCTTCTGTCTTAACATTGACAGGTATTTCTTCAGCTTCTGAAACCGATGCTTTAGGTTTCTTTAACCTTTTTTTACTGGAACTCTTTGAAATTGGAATACATTCATTTATACTAAAATCAGCTGCAGAATTGTTACTATCATTTAAATTCTTCCTTTTCGAAGTTTTTTTATTTATTTTATCTTTACTTCCATGTATACTTTCTTCTGTAGCCTGTTCTATATCGCTATTTTCCACAAGCTGTTCCACCTTAATTTCATTACAATCACCTTTAAAATTCGAGGTAGATGGCTTTTTTAACATTTGCTTTGATGAATGTTCTACATACTTTTCATTATCTTCATCTATGCTACTTTGAGAACTTTGAGCTTTGGATTTCTTTTTGGTTTTACTCTTTGATACTATAGATGTCTCTAATTCTTCATTACTCTCATATCCATAATTTATGGAAACATTGTATATAACCTCATCATATGTACATTCTACTTTCACTATTTCAGGTTTGGATTCTTTACTTTCTTTCTTTATTTTTATATGTTCTTTGTCTTCTTTCCATTGCTTATTGTCCTCAATGGGTTCCTCTTGTTTAAATTTCTTTTTTGATTTTTGGGGAATATATTCTTCCTTTATTTGTGGAATATCATCATCAAAAGTATTTTCAGAATCAATGGCAGAAAATGTGTGTTCCTTAGCATGCTTAGACTTTTTTTCTGAAATTTTATTAACTGAGTTCTCAACATTGTTTTGAATATTATCACCAGAAGATAGCCTCCTGCTATTAATACTTGTTTCCATTAATCTACACCCATGGGAATAGTTACTGAAATGATAGAGAAACAAGCATAGTAACACAAAGACTTGGTACTTTTATGAGTATACAAAGCAAATAAACAGAGCTTAAAAAGAAATGAAAATGAATTTCAGTTGGATATGTTTACCTTTGATTTAAGACACCACGAATAAATGGTAATTTACCAGTAAAATCAAGAAGAGTTATTACAAATCGTACTTCTTGGCCAATTTCAAGATTATCACCTGACCAATTTTCATCGTCATCTGGTTTTGGAATTGATACATTAAATGTTTTATGTATGAGAACCCCTATATGATCTAATCCCTTTTTGTTGACAATTCCTGAAAATTTTTGTCTATTAATAATAATTCAAAAATTTTCAATTCATATAACAACAAAATGTTTCACCTTTTAATGCATACCCTACTTTGGGCCTAAATATATAAAAGTCTGCTTCTATATCAACATGAATAAAGCATGTATCGTAAAATATTTCTCCTAATGGAGTTAGTAATTTAGGATTCTTGTAAGCTAATAGGAATCCTTTTAAGCTGTAACAAATATCAAATATAAGAATGTAAACATAACCAAAAAATACGCCTTTTTTAAATATTACATTTAAGTACGTATTATTGAACAAAAATTGTGAATGAAAAATATATTGCTGAAATTAATCTGAAATAAATACATACTCATTATCATACGAATTTAAATTCGAACTTAAAATTTCATTTAATGCAGCATTCAGATTTGTTAAGTGAAATGGATGCAATCCAAGATGTTTTCTACATTTTTCGAAATGAACACGAGAATCTTCATCTTCAATTAGACCCGCAAGCTCCAAAAGGGACCACGTAATTCCTGTGCACTTTTTAAATTTCATATTAACTGCGTAAAAAATATACTTAAAATACTCTCCCGCGCGAATCACATGTGGAACAGTAAAAGCGTGTAAAGGTTAAACACATGTTTAGCCGGTTCAATAGATAGTCGGTAATAATCACGATGACGGACGTTATCGAAGACTTTTAATTAAGCGCAAAAAGAATAATTCTCGACCGTTCAAAGCACAAAATTACCATATAATTATTTCTTTTATAACATAAAAATTATTTTTATGTAAAATAAAATAAGCGGAATTAAATATCGATATGTTTCATTGCCTTTGATATAAAGTTTATAATTCAGAATAATTTCCAAATTTACGTTGCTTTATAGAATTTAAAGAAAAGAACTAAAGTTGTTAATATGTTTATATTTTAAATTACAGTAATCAGTATTGCATATTGATATGTATAACAGTATACTTTAATTGAAGTTTGGTAAAGGAATAGAAATACAAAAAAAATTTATTGTCTTGCAACAAAATATGACATGTTTATATAAAAATAGTCATATATATAATTTACAAATAGTATTTACTGAACAATAAATACTTTTTAATAAAATTACGTGTTTAATTTATTTTGTGAAATGCGATACAGATTATTTTTATCCAAAGATTAACTTCAATCTACAGTTGAAAATTTCATTAAAAAGTTATATATATATACGTATTTTCCTTTCTTTTTATTTTTGTTAAATTTAATTGAAATATAATATATGCATTTTACTTTGCATTAAAAAAATTCGATTTGTCAAGTACTTATACAGATGGCACCTTCTGCTTCTGCTAATTGAACTGCGAGAATCATATTGACGTCGAAGATGGTAGTTACGGAAAATGTTTAAAAGTTACTAATCGAAATGTAAAGACAAATGATTTTCAATACCAACGTATTTCAAACATCAATTTACATAATGAAAATGTTTGTATGTATGATAAAAGCCTAATAAATATGAATATCAATAATAAAAATGATGGATTGTCATTTGGGTTTTCTACTGCCAGTGGTGGTTCGATAAATGTATCTGAAAAAGCTTTATTAAAAGCAAAGAAACTTTTTACTGATGCGTTTGAAGAATCTGACAACCATGAAGAAGCTTCCGCAATTCAAGAAGAACCTGCTGAAATTGAAATGCAATTACCGAATGTTGGATTTCAAACTGCAAGTGGTCATCGCGTTAATGTGTCCAGCGAAGCATTATTAAAAGCTAAGAATTTTTTTACCGATGCACTTAAGGAAATTGACAATAATGAAGAAGTTTCAAAAATTCAAACAGAGGAAAAGGAATTTAAAACGTTGTTACCGAATATTGCATTTCAAACTGCAAGTGGTCAACATATTAATGTAAGCAATGAAGCATTATTAAAGACAAAAATATTACTTCAGGAAGAAATTTCAGATAGCCCTGAATGTAATCTTGTATTAAGTAAATCACAGCAGAAACGAAAAATTAAGGATTTGGATGATAATGTTCCTTCAAATAAACCAGTAAAATGTAATCAGTTTAAAAAGTTAAGATTTAGTAATGAATTCCAAGTTTCAAAAACAGTTCATAGGAATTTAATAAATATTGAAGAGAAAGACAATCAAAGCAACCCTTCAGTGTCCAGAGAAGTTCTAACATCAAATTGTAATATTGTTAAATTAAATGATAATACAGATAAGATTGAAACTAACAAGAAAAGTAATGAAGCATCTGATAATTCTTTTATTTCACATGAAATTTTGGCCAGTGCAGTTGCACTTTTAGCTGATGAAAAGAATTCAGATTTTACAGAGGAATGGATTTCTCCTGCAGAAAGCAAAGAAAATGAAGATACTGCAAATGTTCCATCTAGTCCTGTAATAGGAGGACAATTTATTCCTAAAAAGCGAAAAAGTATAGGTGGTAAAAAGAAAAGTATAAATGCTTTGAAAAATAAGGAAGATAAATCAATGTGTACAAATTATTCTAAAGAAGTATATGATAATTGTGTAAATTCAGATCATTGTATAAGTGAAAAAAACAAATGTTTAATAGAAAAAGAAGAATTAATAAATAATGAAAGAAAAAGTGATATTTGTGTCATGAATGAATTTGGTGACACTCAGTTAATGATAGATTTTATAAATCATTCTGTAACTATATTAGAGAAGCGTCTAGAAGCTGCTATAGAACAAGTAAGTTACATTTATTGAAAAATATATACATGTACAGATATATTAACTTGAAAATGAACACTTGAAATTATTATCTTGACTTATAATGATACACTTACAGGATAAACAAATTAGCTTGAAACAAAAAAATAAGCCTAAACCAACAATCAGTAAACTGTATTTTCATAAAAAGAGTAATACTAATCGTGTATCTTGGAAAGAAATTAGTAAAGGAAATAAACCTATTCCATGTACATACAAAGAGGTAATGACTGAAAGAAATTATATTCAAATTCTTCTTAATTGATTAAATTATAATTTCTTATTTTATCTTTACTAGCTTATTGAACAAAAATTGCCACTTGAAATATTGGATGTAACAGCTGATAATGCAATAGCATATAAATTTCGATGCACAGATTTTTATGGGTAAGATACATTTGGTTAATAATGATTTTTTATATTTATTATAATTACTTACAAGATTAATATGCCCTATTCAGGCAGGATACTGTGCAAAATAATATTGATGGTATAAAATTGGAAGATGGAGCATGTTTGATTCTGGATGAAAATGGTTATGCAGGGATAATAGAAATTAAGCGATCGTTTTTAGCTAGTCCAGGGGTAGTTCCTGATTTACTTCCCACTAAATGGGTAGAAAATCATTACAAATGGATTGTATGGAAACTAGCATCAATGAACAGAATAAAATTTGGTTCTATTGCTTTACCAAGGTAAAGTTTTTTATTGTGTTAATAACTAAAAGTAATAGCAAAAAATATGTTTTATATTACTTATGTAAAAGAATTTCTTCCTAGAGTATTAACTCCGGCTAAAGTAATGATGGAATTAAAATATCGTTACGATCGGGAAATTGATAGATCTCAAAGATCGGCTTTAAGAAAAATTTTGGAGAAAGACGATGTTGCATCAAAAAGAATGGTTTTGTGTGTGGCATCTATTATTGAGGTAATTTTTTTTCTCAATACAGATATTCACATTTTTTTCATAATATGGTAAATTTTTGTTCTCAATGCAGCTACATTTTTTTGTAAAGCAATATCCATTTTTTTTTTCTTATAGCATGATGATTCTGCTTCTGTAAATAAAAGTCCTAATCATTTAACACCAGCATTTAAAAAATTGATATTAACAGATGGATGGTACAGCATTCAAGCTTCTATTGATCAAGCAATGGTTAAAAATATAATGTCTGGTAAAATAAAAGAAGGAACAAAATTATTAACATACGGATCAGAATTGTTAAACTGTGATCAAGGATACCCTCCTTTAGAAGTAAACATACTTTTAAAAGTTTCTTTCATTTTTAAGTATAAGTATTCAATACATCTGAGATTATTAACTCATAGGTTCCAGAGAATGTATCTTTAAAAATACATACAAATTCCACAAGAAGAGCAAGGTGGGATCTAAAGTTAGGGTACATAGTACCTTTAGGTCCAATATGCATTAAATTAAGAACTATTTTTCCAAATGGTGGATTAATTGGAAAAATTAAAGTTACAATTGCAAGGGTATATCCAATGTTATATCATGAAAAAACTTCAGCAGGGGAATCTAGTAAGATATATACAATTTTAATAATTTAGCGCGATTAATTGTGTTTTAAATCTTTTCGGTTCA